AGATTGCATGAAACATGTGATTAATTAACTGTCGTATGTGTAACAATATAATAAAAAGAAAAAATTTTTTTTATTAAAAAACAGAAATAATTGAAATAAAGTAAGTTATTTTGCAAATTTTAAATTACAAGTTTAAAGTTAATAATTTATAATAGAGGTTGGAACTGGCCTAAAATCTTAACCGTTAATAACTGGTTAAATTATTCGTTATCCGGTTGTATAAATCCTATAAATTATAAGGATCCAAATGAAATATATGAAGTTCATCTCTACGCAACTCATGAAATCTTAATCCATCTTAGGTTTTTTATAAGTAGGAACCAATGAACATTTCTGCCAAATACTATTTCGCTAAAATTTGCTTCCGAAATAATGTAAAGTGAGGTTTAAAATATTTATTGTTTATTTTTTAAGAATAACTTTTACATAATTAATTTATTAAAAAAAACCTTGACTACAAATGAAACGCAAGACTTTTTTTAATAATTATACGCTTCTTATAAACAAAATGAAAAGACTTCTTTGATAACGCTACGCTACTACAAAAGGACTTCTTCAATAATGCTAACGTCACCGATAATGAAATGAAGGACTTTTCGCATTCAAGATTCAAAATTTAAAGTAGATATGAGAAAAAGTCCATTTCCGATGCGATAGAACTGTTAATGGGAGAAGTGTTATATAGGTAATATCCTAAAAATCCAGAGCATTTTGAAGTGGTCCATTGGTTCTAGCTGATCTTCCTTAGGGAGTAGTTAACCGCTGAGTATTACTCATACCCAACCCTTTATTTTTATTTTATTCAAACAAAGAAACAGATGATACCGATCACATTAACGCGACGACAATGAAACGAAGGACTTTCGCATCAAGATTTAAAATTTAAGGTAGATGCTAGAAAAGTCCATTATTGATACAGGTAGAACTGTTAATGGAAGAAATGTTATATAGGTAATATCCTAAAAAATCCAGAGCATTTTGAAGTAGTCCATTGGTTCTGGCTGATCTTCCTTAGGAAGTAGTTAACCGCTGGGTATTACTCACACTTAACCCTTTATTATATTTTATTAAAATTAGAAATGGACGACTCTGATTACGTTAATGCTACTGATAACAAAACGAATGACTTTTCACGTCCAAGATTCAAAATTTAAAGTAGATATGAAAAAAGTCCATTTCTGATGCGGTAGAACTGTTAATGGGAAAAGTGTTATATAGGTAATATCCTAAAAAAATCCAGAACATTTTGAAGTGGTCTATTGGTTCTGGCTGATCTTCCTTAAAGAATAGTTAACTGCAGAAATTACTCACACCCAACCCTTTATTTTTATTTTTATTTATAGAAATAGATGATACCGATCACGTTAATACGACGATAATAAAACGAAGGACTTTCGCGTCAAGATTCAAAATTTAAGGTAGATGCAAGAAAAGTCCATTATTGATATGGGTAGAACTGTTAATAGGAGAAGTGTTATATAGGTAATATCCTAAAAAATCCAGAGCATTTTGAAGTGGTCTATTAGTTCTGGATGATCTTCCTTAGAGAGTAGTTAACCGCGGGAATAACTCACATCCAACCATTCTTTTTAACGCAGAAACAGACGATTCCAAATATTTTCCGATCACGCTAATGCTAACGCTACTTATAAATGAAACGACGATAACGTTATATTACTTAGAATTAATTAAATTGTTATTTCAAAACGTGTCGCTGAAAAAAATCCAAAGTATTTTTTTTAAAATTTATTTTTATTGTTTGATCAATCGGTAACAAGTTTACGTTTAGTAAAAAGAGATTAATTTTATATATAAATTTTTTTTAATTCATTAATTTATTAAAGTTAATTGAAAATTTTTTAAATTAATACAATATGTTTAAGATTTCAATAAAATCAAAACTTTACCACCGTTTCAAATATGCTTTTTGCATTTATGAATGGCACAGTTTCTGCAGAAAATTAATTAGTGCAGGTCAAAAATTGTTTCTTAAAGAATTTAAATAAAATATGTTACAAGTTTCGATACATATTATATTCACTAAGTCTAATAGATTTTTGTGAATGGACTGTTAATATTTGTTATGAATTATACTTTATATAAACTATTTATTAAGAAAATAAGAAAAATCCCTTTTAAAGGTATAATAAATGTAAAAAAGCATTAAGCGAGAAAAAAAAAGAATAGTTCTAATAGTAATAATCAAAACATAAGAGATTTAAACCTTACAATCAAATAGTTAACGAGATGAAAATCGTTATTATTCTATCACAAAGACTAATTTTCTTTACATTCAACCAAGAACTTGTGAAACTACATAATTATTAATATTAACCTTACAGATACTTCCATTTTCATTATTAAAGTCAATTACCAACTAAAACTGAGAGAGTTCTGCTTATTGTAAATTCAATTAATCGAGAAATTGAGAAGGCTTTTTTAACACAACACTATCAAAGAAAAAAAGTATCAAAGATATAATAAAAAATTGATACATATCTTAATTAGTGTAAGGATATAACGATCAGATAAAAATTTTTGACGTTTTCACAAAATATCTGGAAGTATATACTATTACTCTAGAACCTTAAAGATAATTCTTTCAACACGGTTAAAAAGCTAAAATATTCACATTATGGAGGATGGAGAGAGAACATTTCTCATAAAGAAACGGTAAATTAATCACAGCAAACATCAAATTTTAACTGAGCCCACTGGAAATTCAACGTCTATACAAGTATTCAGTGACGTGTCATCTGACTAAGCAATTTACAATTCAACTAAGAGGATTAATTGCATTATGAGTTTGAATTCGTGTATCTAACAAAAAGGACAGGAGAAATGGTTTTTGATTTATTAGAATTTGGCTCAATGATTAGCTTTTATATTCCGTTTGAAATTTGGTTGCTTATGAAAGTATTATACAGTATATTTTTTTTTCGTCAATACGAAAATGCTGTAAGAAATAAAGTAATTATGAATTATATATTTATCGTTGATAAATTCCTAGTGAAAAAAATAAAATACTCTCTGAAATATTTCAGTGATCACATGATAAAAAGTGTATAGATCAAAAAAATTAATTTACTCAAAATCCTTTAATATAGAGACAATTAAACTTCTGAAACTAGGTCATTTTCTTCTCAAATTACATATTTATTTTGTGAAAAAGCAAATGTGATTTTGTACATCGATTGTGCTTACAAATATTTTTTCTATTTAAATCCTTGTCTCATTCTAACTTACCATTTAAAGTAGACAGCGTTAGTAGTTGGCTCGAATTTACAGACTGATTTTCTACTAAGGATTTAAGTTTAAGAAGATCACTTCAGTGAAATTATTTTGGTTTCAATATCTTTTTCCTCATGATAACGCTTAAATCAAGTTCAAGTTTAGTAATAAATTATAATTAATGAATATAATAACTCACATCCTTATTGTGATATTAAGGAATCACATAGGTGTTTGTTAAGAATATTATTACTAAATCATCATTAACTAATCATTGTTTCTTTTGTACGTTAAACTGAGAGAAGTGCAACGTCTATTTAACCATTATAATTGTTTTTTTTATACATGTTTTCACTCGAAATGAGATATACAAATTTTGTTTATAAATTTAATCATAATATGAGCTTACTATTTTAATCAAGTTACGGATCATATGTACTTTAACTCGATTTTTTAATTTTTGGTAATTTGATATTGATTCTGATATTGTGTTGAATAATTGTGGTATTTGACAATTATTATCTATCACAGAAATCTTATATTATTGTGCTGTAAATCTAAAAATACGTCACTATTGTAAAAATATACATAGTTTAAAAATTCTTGCATCTTAATTTGGCAATTATAAGGATGTTCAAACATAATTTTCTTGGTAACCCTGATCAAGGTTTAAACTTTTTAAAAAAAAAAAATAAAATTTCCTAATAAGTATATATTAACTAATTTTGTAAAAAAAAAAAAAGCTCATTCAAAACAATGAACTCTTGTATTTTTCTTTTCTCTTACACAAATATTCATATGCTGTTTTACTGCAACATTTAATTTTCCTAAATCTCTCTATTGATATTTACTAACACAAGACCATTCTGCAGTTGAAGGTGTTTATTTTAATAATTGCTATATGGGGTGAAACCAAAAATATATTAATTAACAGAACTTACAGCAGCATATTTTCTATTATAAAAGAAACAGCAAAGAATCTAAATTTTTGCTCCACGTACTCTCCTCCCATACCTAAAAAGTTTTCCAATTATAAACAACTTTCTATCTTTACTAAAACTTTTCGAAAGGTGGAGAAGAAAAAAAAGGGATGGAAAATTTCACTAATTTGAGGAAACTGGTGATCCATCACAAATTTAAAAATTTTATCTTGTTAAATTTAGTTGGAATCGATTTGGGTTTAACATATTCCTCGTTGGAGTTTGGAAATATGATCGAATTGGAAATTATTACTAATGACCAGGGTCATCATACGACGCCTTCGTATGTCACTTTCATCGAAACAGAACGTCTTAATGGTGATGCTACAAAAATCAAGTTAGTATGAACCATTATAATACTATATTTAATGTTAAACATCTCATTGAACGTAACTTTAACAATGAAGTTATTCTATCTGATATATTAAGGTAAAATTATATCTCAATGATACGAATTTGATCTACAATGCATTTTAATACATTTATAATTCTTATCTTATTTATTAGCATTAGCTAATTAAAGTTATCGAAAAGAATGGAAAGCTATATATCCAAGTCAGATTCAAAGGTGAAAAGAAAGATTTCACACCCAAAGAAATTTCTTTTATGATCTTAGTAAATTTAAAGGAAACCGCAGAAGCTTACCTTGGTACAAAAGTTAATAATGCTGTAATTATATTACCAGCTTAATTTAATGAATCTCAACATCAAGCAATAAAAGATTCTGGTAAAATCACTGTTTGAAGGTATTACGCATAATTAATAAGCAACTACGGCGGCTATTACTTATGGTTTGAATACAAAGCTTGTGATGAATGAAACATTCTTATCTATGATTTAGGTGGTAGTTCTTTCGATATTTCACTTTTAACTATAGAAGAAGGAATTTTTGAAGTAAAAGCCGTTGCTAGTAACACAATTCTAGATGATATCGACTTGTAAATCATTATTCAACAAAAAAATTAAGGAAGATCTTACAACAAATGCAGGTGCTTTCCGTCGATTAAGGACAGCTTGTGAACGTGCAAAGCGTGAACTTTCTTCATCATCAAAAGTTTCCATAGAAACAGATTCACTTTTAAAATATATCGATTTTTATACCTTCTTAACACGTACAAAATTTGAAGAAATTAAATCAAGACTTATTCAATCTACAATGGAAATCGTTGAAAAAGTACTTCGAGATTCTAAATTAGACAAAAATCAAATTCATGAAATTGTTCTAGTTGGTGGTTTCAATACATATTCCTAAAATTTAAAAGATGGTATCTAAGTTCTTCAATGGTAAAGAACTAAATAAATCTGTTAATCCTGTGAAACAGTAGCCTATAGTGCCACCATTCAAGATTCTATTTATCTGGTGATATTTCTGAAAAGTTCAAGATTTTCTTTTACTTGATGTCGCTACTTTATCTCTAGGTATTGAATCTACCGGTGATATCATAACACGCTTATTAATCATAATACTGAAGTACCTATTGAGAATCTGAAATTATTTCAACAGATTTTGAAAATCAATCAGAAATACTTATTTGAATTTTTGAAGGTGAACATATATTCTTTTTTATTCTCTTTTATACTGGCTCTCTTTAAGTAATATCTATCTTCAAAATCTTTGTTTTATTAAAAAATTCATTATAAATAAATTCGTTAAAAAAAAGTCATTTATATATATGTATTTATTAAATTGTTTTTATATATTGTTAGCTTTTAATTAGTAAATTCGGTATAATAAGGTTTTTTTAATATAAAAAAATCTATACTATATCAAAATTCATTATATTGTGAAATTTGTTATATTAACATTCATTGTATTAAGAGTTAATTGTATAATAAATTTAAAAATTATATATAATAAATAAATATGAAAATGAAACTATTATAATATTTTAACATATATAATTGATTTAATTAATATAAATAATATTTTTGACATTTTTATATTTCTTCTCTCTAATTTTTGAATTCTAAGATTAAAGTTTTCTTTATTAATTAATGTAATTTGTTAAACATATTGAATCAATACTTGGAATTTATTAACTTTTAAGTATTGAATCATGATTAAGAAAATTTCACAAGTCCTATAGATTTGTATTAGTCTCAATAATTTAAACAAATAATATATTATATCAGTAAGCATATCTTTTATTATAATTTATTCTAAGAAATTAGATATACATTGAAATAGGTAAAATCATTACTTAGAAAACTATTTAATGATTATAATATCAGCATAATTTCTTTAAAGATCACTTATATAGATTAATTAGTTATAAAATAATTAATCATATAGATTTTAGATGTTTATTTAATTTTTAAAATAATAATCAATTAAAATTCTATGTCAGCTTAATTTCTATAGATCTGCTAACTTTATTGATGAGTTTATTTTACTTTCTAGTAATACTTTAACTTTATTTTTATCAAATATATTTAATATAGTTTATTTTATTAATTATCTAATCTGTATAAATATCTCTATATTTCTCTAATAATGAATTTATTATTGTATTAATAAAGAAATATAATTAATCAAATATAAAACTTATTCTTTATAACTATTTATACTGTTTATAATTTATTTATAAATCCTTTACATTCATTTGCAATCCCTTTAATTATTAATAAACTTGTTATATGTTATTATATTGATTTACTGTATTGATTTAGAATCTTTAAAATGTAATCTTTAAAATATCTTATATTTATTTTTGTATTATTATATTGAAAATAATCTTTAATATTATTATAAATACTCACTTGTGATTCCTTAAGTGATTGTCATAATTTTATTTAACTCTTACAAAATTATTTTAAGTTACAAATCTCATGTAATAATATTATTACATCTATTTATAATTTAAAATAATTCATATAAAAGGTAATAAAATTATGATAATTACTTAAAGAATCATAATTGAGTATTTATTGTAATATCAAAGATTATTTCCAATATAATAATACAAAATAAATATAAAAATATTTCAAAGAATACATTAAGTTAATATAGCGAATTAACTATATCATGCAATAAATTTATTAATAATTAAAGGATTGCAATTAAATGAATTAAATACAAAGGATTTATAAGAAAATTTAAATAATTATAAATAGTTAAGAAGAATAAGTTTATATTATATTAATTATATTACTTTCTTAATGTAATAATAAGTTTATTATTTAAAAATTATTATTTTATTAGTTTACCTTTATCAGAAAAGTAATAAAACTTAATAAAAATATAAAAATATTTATATATATTAAATAATTAATAAATAAATTAAATTAAATATATTTAATGAAAATAAAGTTAACAAATCTGTAAGTATTAAAATTAATATAGAAATTAAATAGACTGATATTAAAATTAAATTGATATTTAGAATCTACATGATTATCTTAAAAAAATAAATTATCTAACTGATTAATATAAAATATCTTCAAGAAAATAATATTAACATCATAATTTTCATTAATTTTTATTAAAAATTTTATTTATTATAATATGTTTCTTAAATAAATATATTCAGCAGAGCAAAAATCTAATTTTTTATTATGTAAATACTTTGTTATACTAAGGAGTATGAGAATCTAATTAAAGATTACACAATAAAATTTAGATCAGAAAAACTATTCACCTGACTTTATGCTGATCATTTTATTTTTTCATTATATTTGAAGTGTATTAATATATAAAATTTTTTTTCTTAACATTTTCAAAAGCTGATATTTAATAGTTAATTACTACAGGTAAGAACTATATTACTAAAATTTCATAGTCCTCAATATATTATTAGCTTTCTACCATCAAAATATTGTAAACTATATATATATATATCATTAAATATTATTAAAATAAAGATAGGCAGAAAAACTAAAATTTTATTTTATTAAATTCAAATATGAATTTATATATTTTTTCAATATGTTTACTCCATAAAGGTAGTATTTTTTCTAAGTGCTTTTTAATAAAAGGTGTCTTATTCTTTAAATTAGAGATAATTATAAATAATAATTTTTGTTTCTTTTATATTGTGTAGAAAATTTCAAATATTCAAATTAATCATAATAACTCTGATACTAACAATATCATTGAAAATGATTCCTCTGAGTTTTGGTTTTTTCAAAAATCTAATTGTAATTATTTATTATCATTGAAAGAAATTTAACATTATTAAGTTTAATAGTTATGCCTGATTCCTCTAATGTTACTTGTATTAAAGTCTCATTTTATTTAATAATACCTTTTACATTTGATACATTTCTTTTTCAGGATTATTTCTTTTTGATATATAGATATCTTGTTCATCATACATGATATTTATCACATACTGTATTTGGGTTGAATATTATTTTAAATTTCACTTAAAAAGACATCACATTCATCAAGATTTTCATCTTCATATTTATCTAATACTTGATAGCTTCTTTTTCAAAGGAATATTAATCTTTTAGTTAAATAAGTAATCAATGCAGATTTATGTTAAATTAACATTTAGCACTAATCTACTCATTATAATAATATTTCTTAAAAAGATTTAATTATTTTATATTCTACTAGAATGGATATAGTTTGTATATTTACTTTTGCATCAGTAAATTTATCCTAATACTCTTACATGATTTCTAATTAATAACAATTACAATTAGTGTGAAGATTTATCAATTATAAGTCTTAATTTCTTTCCCAATTTATTTATGATAATATTAATAGCTGCTTCAGTATCAATTATAGCCAAAATGTTGTCTTTTTTCTATTATTATTGTTTAAAAATTTTATGATATTAACATTAGTTTATAGTTCTAAATGTTATCTTAAGGCTTTTGCTAAGTTTCTTCTTTAAGTTAGTATTTGTTGAAAAATGTCATCAGCAATATTATATAATGAAAAGTTATCAAAGTTTCTAGTCTTGCTTATCCATTTGGATTAGGAAAAGGTTCTATTTACATTTCTTTAGAATTAATAATTTGAATATTAAGGTTCATTTCTTTTTAGGATTCTAAAGTCTGCACTATTTCTTTTTGTTTCTGTTTTATCACTTTTTCTATCAATAGTATATGTTCTTGATCATTTCTCTGCATATACTTTATTTTCTCTTTTTTATTTTCTATTTCACTATCAATAAATATTTTGATTAGATTAGCATCCCTTTATTTTCTGTTAGTTTTATTTTTTCAGATAAGCAATCTCTTGCATAATAACCTTTCTTATTATACTGATAACAAATAACTTGATTAAAATCAAAAGATTTCTTATTAGTAATTGCTACATTCTTTAATAATACAGCTTTAGGTTTTGAAACTCCTGCTTCAGCTACTAATATATTTATGATATTTGCTTAATTTAAGATGAGTTATTCTAATTATTTCATTAGAGCTTCAATTGCATCATCATAACTAATAGTTTGGATGGTTTTCTTATATAATATGAATAAACTTCTATGGTTCTTGCTATCCTAATTGCAATATCTAAATATTTTGAATATTTTATCACTACTTTCACAATAAGATTCAGTTTTAACCTATTCAAAAATAATTGAATTTGATAATTGTCTGGTAAGGTGTTTTTTAAATCCATTAATCTCTTAAAATTAGTAAACCTGATACTGTAAGTATATATATTCATGTTTAATGTTATTAATATTAGATAGCATTTATGTTACCATTTATTTTTTTGTGCTATAATTGCAAAATGTCATCAAAATAGAACTACAAAGCTTGTATCTCTATTACCATTATGATTCTAATAAAATTGTCAATTTATAAAGTAATTAGTCCTCTTAAATATCTAGCAATAATGCTACTTTTTTTTAAACTTTGTCTAATTGTTAGCTGTTGCTACTATTATTATGTTTGATTCTCTAGGTAATTGTACTGGTCTTGTGTTTTTTAATTTCTGTGTGATTGTATTAATAGGATTCTTTACTGTATATTTATCCAGTATTCAATGTTTTATTTGTTTTTTGATTTTCTCTTTGCCTACTTTCTTGTTCTTCTTATTCTATTTTCTTTTTCTTCTTCTAAAGGTTGTATGTTGATCTTTTATTGTCTATTATAACATACAATCACATTACAGCAATTTACTTGCTTCAAGTAATTCTTTACAATATATCATACTCTTTCAATTCTAAATAGTTCTTATTAGCTAGCTTTAATGTGCCTTCCTATTAAAAAATTACTATAATAATAATTGTTTTCGATGCTGCTTCATGAATCCTAAACTTTTTGAATGATTACAATTTACTTTTCATCTGTTCATTTATGGTTTGAATTTACTGAAATGATGTTTTGAGCGAAATTAATTCAGGAATTCACTAGAGAATTTAACAAAAATATTAATTCATATACTAAAAAGCAATGAGTGAAATAGTAAAATTCAAAATTTACAATAATATGATATTTGCTATAGAAAAAATATTAAAGTAGATTTTCAATCTGACTATTGCTTGATCGATAGAATATCTTAATGAGATTTTGCTTTATCAATTCATCAGCAATGACACATTCTAGCTTTTCCTCTTCTGATATATTTTCTCTAAAGTCTGAAATACTCAAATATTTAGGAATATTTGTAAATCGTATTCTACTGGAACTGCATCTTTTACCTGAGATTGGAATTGATTCTACAAATATAAAATGAATCTATTGTTTAGTATTTCTATTATTTAAAATAAACCAGAGAAGTTCAAGACGTAATTCAAATAGCCTACTACCATTACCAAAGTATTGCTTCATAATATATTAGATAATTAGAAAAACTAAAAAAAATTAATTTTTTAAAAGCAATCCATTCTAAAAGTGAATGAACATATAAAGTAAAAAAACAACAAAATATATAAAGAGAATTGAACCCATATAATACTATGGAAAGCAATAATAAGATTTGTCCTATTCCTTCTAAAGTAACCAACTCAAAAGAGGAGCTTAAAGAAAAAAATAAAGAATCATAAATCAAAAGGTGAAATATTATTGCTGAGATTTGAAGCAATCAAGCGTAAGTAAAAAAATATTAAAAAAAAACAAAATAAAAAATACAACTAAAAAAATAAACACTTACTGAATACTTCTAAAGCGATCCAAACTGCAAAAGGAACAAAATTATTAAAATAATTTATTAAAATATGATCAGATTTCAGTATATTCCAAGCATATTTAAATAATTGTGATTTTTGGTAAGCTGAAACTGATAAAAATAGATATGCATTTCTGGCAACTCCATTGCATAATCATGAAAATAAGTATATCACATAGATCACTGTAATCAAGCTAAAGAAAAAAATAAAAATAAAAATAAACAAAAATGAAATTAAAAAAAGATACTTCATGTCTGAAAAATCTATTTGAAGATTTAACATTAACAGAAGTTATTAAAAAAATAATAATGATAAAAATTCTGCATCAATAAATTGGTATCTAATTAATTAAATGTAACATGTGAAAATGTAAATTTTTTCCTTGACTTTTTTTTGTTATTGATCTAAAGAATCACTGTGATAGAAACTTAAAAAAAATTACTCGTGATTAACCAATTTAAATTGATTCTACCTTTTAATTCCTATTTCGGTCTCGACTTTATACTATAAATGATATCTTTAAACAATGTGTTCAAAAAAATTAAAAAAATTTTTTTTGGATGTGATTGAATTGTATAATAAATGTAAAAAAGCATTAAGCGAGAAAAAAAAAATTGTTCCAATGGTAATGATCAAAACATAAGAGATTCAAACCTTACAATCAAATAGTTAACTAGATGGAAATCATTATTATTCCATCACAAAAACTAATTTTCTTTACATTTAACTAAAAACTTGTGAAACTACATAATTAAATTTAATATTAGCCTTGCAAATGCTCCCGTTTCATTAGTAAAGTCAATTTGATTACTAACTGAACCTGAGAGAGTTCTGCCTATTATAAATTCAATCCATCGATAAATTGAGAAGGATTTGTTAACACACTATCGAAGAAAAAAAGTACTAAAGATATAATAAAAAAAATTGATACATAGCTTAATTAGTAGCAAGGATATGATGATCAGATAAAAATATTTAACAATTTTGCAAAATATCTGGAAACGTGTTAACTATTAGTCAAGAACCTTAAAGATAATTCTTTCAATACAGTATAAACAAGACAGAAACGGTTAATGAACTTAAGCAAGCTAAATATTAAAATTATGGAGGATGAAGAGTGAATATTTCTCATAAAGAAATGGTAAATTAATCACTGCAAACATCAAATTTTAACTAAGCTCACAGGAAATTCAATGTCTATACAAGTATTCAGTGATGCATTATCTAACTAAACAATTTGCGATTCAACTAAGAGAATTAATTGTATTACGAGTTTGAATTTGTGTAATATAATATGTTAAACAAAAGGTTAGGTATGTAATGTCATTAATATAACATAATAGATTTTAAAAAAAAATTCACATGTGTCAGAATTAATATTCAAGTAATAGATGACCCAAAATGTTAAATTAATATCTAAAATATTGATTCTTTAAGTCGACGCCGTAATGTTCAGGTGTTTTCTTACTGCTTATAGTAAGTGACATGATTTTAATTATCAAACCACCATATATTTAGTTTGAGAATAAAATCTTCGATCATTTGGAAGGTTGAGAATATGTAATTGTCACACGTGATCAACATATATTAATAGTGCCTTACTTTTGCTTAAAAGAAGTTAACCAAAAAACAGTTCTGCCAAATACTATTTCGCTAATTTTTGCTTCTGAATGAAAGTTAAGTGAGTTTAAAATCTTTATTGTTATTTTATCTTTTAAGCATAACTTTTACATAATTTTTCATTTATTAATTTATTAAGAAAAAATCTTGACTAAGACTTTTCTGATAATTACGAACGAAACGGAAAGACTTCTTCGATAACGCTACGTTATTGACTAATGAAATGGAAGGACTTTTCACTTTAAAAACCTAAAAAACAAATAATAAGTAATCGAAAAAGAAAGAATTAAAACAAGACTTAAATAAGGTAGACGCGAGAAAAGTCCATTTCTGATACGGGTAGAACTGTTAATGGGAGAAGTGTTAAATAGTCATTTTATATATCAAAGCAAGTTAATCTTTTAAATAGCGTTGGCTTTGATAAAAATAATATGATGCAGAGTAATTTATTACAAATCATCCCTTTATTATTGACTATATAATAACCTCTTAACCTTTCGCTGATATGCTGCTGATGTACTTTAGTAGCGCTCACTGAGTAATGTTCTAAAAAATCCAGAACCTAAATTAGTGGTCCCATTGGTACTGGCTTTTCTTTCTTAGGGAGTAGTGAATCACAGAAGTTACTCATGTGCACTCTTTATTTTTATTTAATTTAAACATAGAAACAGACGATTCTGAACATTTTCTGATTACGCTAACTAACATTACTGATAACGAAATGAAGGGCTTTTCGCTTCAAGATTCAAAATTTAAGGTAGACGCAGAAAAAGTCTATTTCTGATACGGGTCGAACTGTTAATGGGAGAAGTGTTATATAGTTATTTTTATATATCAAAGCAAGTTAATCTTTTAAATAGTGTTGGCTTTGATAAAAATAACACAATACAGAGTAATTTATTACAAATCGTCCCTTTATTATTGACTATATAATAACCTCTTAACCTCTCACTGATGTGCTGCTGATGTACTTTAGCAGTGCTCACTGAGTAATATTCTAAAAATCCAGAATCTAAATTAGTGGTCTCATTGGTACTGGCTGTTCTTCCTTAGGGAGTAGTTAACCATGGAAGTTACTTATGTCCGCTCTTCATTTTTATTTATTTAAACATAAAAACGGATGATACCAAGCACATTAACGTGATGACAACAAAACGAAGAACTTTACGTCAAGATTTAAAATTTAAGGTAGATGCGAAAAAAGGCCATTTCTGATACGAGTAGAATTAATAATAGGAGAAGTGTTATATAGGTAATATCCTAAAAAAAATTCAGAGCAATTTGAAGTGGTTTATTGATTCTGGCTAATCTTCCTTAGGGAGTAATTAACCGCTGGGTATTACTCACACCCAACCCTTTATTTTTATTTTATTTAAACAAAGAACAGACGATACCGATCACGTTAACGTGATGATAATGAAACGGCTACTTAGAATTATCTAGATGTTCTTTTACAAAAATACGCTGTGAAACGAATGATTTTTTAAATTTATTTTTATTGTATAAGTATAACTTTTATTTTAATTTATTTTTTTTTTTTTAAAAAAATAACTTTTTGATGGAGGTAATGAAATCGAACATTTTAATAAAAATATTAATTTTATGGATCTAAAGATAGAAAATCCACTATTTAAAAGGTCAACAAGATCTTGTATTATCACTTTATTTTTTTAATTAATATATATATTTTATTATTATTAAAAGTAACGTTTTCATTTATGGCAACTGTTTTAGAAATGGATTTTGTCAATATGAAGATTAAATATGAAAATTTCCATTTAAAATTTTATAATAAAGTTTAACTTAAAATTTTATATTTCAATAAATAATTAATCAAATTATACTTGAAGGAATTAATCTTAAAATTTATCACACAGTAATTTTTATTATTTAATCATTTAATAGAAACTTTATTTCATATTATATTTGTAACATGTGATACGTGACATACGAGACATAGTAAAATTTCTAAATAAATAATAAAGAGAAATTGCAAAATGTTATAAAATAATACATTGCTTTCAAAAATATGATTCAGTAGAACCGTTGCCTTCATTAAGTTATAAACCACGTTTATTATTAGAAAATATTTTAAAATATCTTGAGTTTCAACTAAAAGGAAAGGTAGCTTGGTATATTTGGGAGTTACAGAATGAAATATATACCAATACATTTTTTTTTAACAATCGAATCTTTATTGATATTATAAAATCAACGAAAAAATACATTCGAACTTTTTTTGTATACAACATCATTTTTTATTATACATTGGTATACTATACAATAGTTGAAATGTAGATTAAATGATTACAAGTCGTACATTAATGAATAATTAAATTATTCTATGTAACTAAGTAATAATTAATCGTTTATATTATTCTCTTAGTTGAATAGTAATCAAATTATATCGAAATTTAAAGGAGAATTAAGAATAGTATGTTGATAAACGACAAGCCAAATTTTTTTTTCAAAAAAAAAAATGATTGCCCTTACACACATTCGACTCACAAAAATAGCAAATTATCAATATACGTAAGATAGGTAAGTCAGACCTAAAAAGTTCCGTCTTGTCACACTCTTACTACGAAATTTTAAAAGGATATAAAAAAAAAAATAGTGAGAGAGAGGGAGGGAGAGAAGGAGAGAGGAAGAGAGGGAAAGAGATAGAGAGATATATATTAAATTTTAAAAAAAAAACTCAGAAATATCGAAATACAGGCGAAACAAAACAGATATACAAGAAACGAAAAGAAAAGAAATATCATGTTTTTCAGCTAACATTTTATGCGTAACTATATAATATTATATTTTTAACTAAAGTAACATTATTATATATATTTTCTAACTAGCGTTAACTGCTATTGTTTCACTATATGTTATTGCTTAATACATAATTTAAGTTATACAATGTGTTATTGAATGGCATCAGTTGATATAGGGTTCATTGTTCAATATATTTAAGCATTAAGTAACACGTAGCATTTGTTAACATATTAAATGCCTGCCAAAAACTTATCAATGATATTTTTAAATTTCTACTTTTCTCAATTGTAGTGATATTAAAGATTTTTCAGGAAGTGAAATAAATCAAGTGATTTAATTATTTTTTCTGATGTAATAATTATTAAATTTATGCAAAATTGTTGAAGATCAAATAAGTTAATTGAAAACTTATTTTATGAATAAGTTCAAAATGCTGTTCTATCCATTGCAATTTATTTACTATGAAATTCTTTTGTAATCAACAAGTTCTTAAAGAAGCAAGTCATCAGTAATTACCAAGACATTAAGGATTTTTAAACGTCATAATCATCAAGTGTAAGAACACTGTCATATATATATCTATATTATACAAAGAAAGAAAGTAAGAAATATGTATTTAAATATTTAAAAAATTAATATAAATGTATAAATCAATGTTTAGTTAGTTCACTCTTACTTTAAAATAATTTGAAAGGATTTTAGAAATATATTTGACAACTTTAAATAAGCTAAGTTTTTATTATGATTTTGTTTATTTAAAGCTAAAGTTTATCGTAAATATGGAAAACGGTAATACAAAATATTTATATGCACATGAAATATTTTTACATTAAGGTCTTTACCAACTTCTACAATAACATCGTAAAATTCATTATTATCCAGTAATTTAATGTAATTGA